GGGGGTCTCTCACCTGGGACCTCTTGGGGGACCTCTTGGGGGACCTCTTGGGGGACCTCTTGGGGGCTTCTGGAAGCTTCAGGGGACGCCCAGGGACGTCCAGGGGTCTCCAGGAGCCTCTGGACAACTTGCCGATGGCTCCTGCACAGGGGGGGCGCTCGGGGGGGGCGTGGGAGGATGGATTGGCACTGCCACCACACTGGGGCGACGGGCCCCCCCGCCGCCCCCGCAGAAGAGGTTCTCAAGGGGGGCTTGGGCCCGCATCATGTCTGCAGAGTTGGCGCGGCCGCTGCCCAAGAGCGGATTCGGGGGCAGAGTTGCAACGGGTTCTGGCCACGTGGGCGAACGCGTCAGGCGCGCGCGCGATCTTGGCTCAAGCACTCATCTACGCTCCGACTGTGAGACTGGGTCCCCAGTCCCGTGCACGGTTCCCCTCGAGCAGCCAGCGGCCGGCGATGCCAGGAGCGAGGGCTGCGGCAGCAGCAGGGGGCGTCCGCGCCCCGATGCGCGACAAGGGGAGGGATGGTGCACCTGCCGGAGGCAGCACTGCCGCCGTGAGCGACACGAGCGCTGGCAGCGCGCCATCGTCGGCTCGGCAGCCCGACTGTCTCCGCTGCAGGGACAGGCCCCCCACCTGTGCTCGGTGCCGCGGCGACGCCTGGATCTCCTGCGGCCGCTGCCAGGGCGAGGGTGAGATCCGCGGCGCCTGCTGGTGCGCCCGGGAGGTCGCAGGCCGCGCACGCCACAACCCGGACTGCGCCAAGTGCTTCGGCACCGGCGTGTTCTGCCGCAAGTGCGGGCGCTGCGACGGCCAGGGCATGTGGCGCTGCGAGCGGTGCAAGGCAGGGATCGACCCAAACTGTGCTCTGGCGAGGTCGTGGGCCGTTTCCGTTTCGGTGCCGTCTTGCAGCAACGGCGGATTGAAGACCAGACGAGGGACCACGAACACAAAGCGAAGACGACAAACGCTGTCTGGGTCGATCTCTGCCGCAAGGGTCGCGGCCTCTTTGCCTGCGGCGCCTGTGGGCGCGGCCAGGTGCCCCGGGCCGGGCGCAGGGGCGGCGGCCCGGGCAGGGCCCCCGACCTGCTGGGGCCCGAGCCCCCGGAGGGCCTGGTGGTCACCCGCTGCCACGGCGCGGAGGAGTCCGCCGTCTGCAAGCTGTGGTCGTCCTTGCGACCCGAAAGGGGGTCCAGCTGAGATGGGGTGGTGCACTTGTATTGCACATGTATTGCGCCAGAGAGTTGTGTTGCATTGTATCACAGCTGGTGTACAGCACGCGAACGCCCAGCGATACATTTGCGCCCCGGAATGTATTGCACGCCCCAGATCTCCTGCAACCCCACAAATCAATTGCACCAAATTTGTGGCACCAAATCTGTTGCACCACCCCCTTGTCGCTGGACCCCCTCTTGGGTCCATCCGAGGTCGGAGCGGCTGGCGTCCGCAGGGTGGCCCCGCCCAGGGGGGCTCGCCGCCCCGAGAGTGGCCGCCGTGTGGGGCGTGGAGAACCCGCGCCGCGCCTGGGCGTACCGCCGCCGGCGCGCCCAGCTCGAGGGAGAGCTCGGGCGCTCCCCGGCCGAGCTCCGCGGGTTCCACGGCTCCGCCCCCTGCAACATTTGATGGGCTTGTTTTCCACTACCGCCATCATGAGTTGGAGGGGGAGGGTCTCCTCCTCCTCCTCCTCCTCCTCCTCCTCCACCTCCTCCACCTCCTCCTCCACCTCCACCTCCTCCTCCACCTCCTCCTCCACCTCCTTCCCCCCTCCAACTTGTGGTGGTGGTGATGGAAAACAGGCCCGTCAACATCAGGGGGGCGAAGAAGGGCACAAACATACAAAAACTCGGCTAGGTCCGCTCGGCTTTCTCGGATCTGCGCTGGAACCCCCTGGCGGCGCGTCCGGCGCCGCCCCTGGCGCGCTCTCCGCGCGCCAGGGAGGGGGTCCAGCGCCGATCCGAGACGTCCGCGCGAACCTCCGAGTTTTTACGTTCATGCCATTCTTCGTTTCCCTCAACATCCTCTCGATCGCCGAGGGTGGCTTCGACGCAGGGAGGCGCTCGGGACAGGCCTACGGCGCCGGGGAGTACTTCGCGAAGAACCCGAACGTCTCCGTCGGCTACTGCAGGGGGGGCTCCTACATGCTGGTGTGCCAGCTGTGCCTCGGCAGGGAGTCCAGCACGCAGGAGAACGAGGACGGCGACCACATCTGGGCAGCAGCTTGCGGATACTATGTCATCTCGGATCCCGACCAGGTTCTGCCGCTGTACATCGTGCGCTTCGAGGACGGGCGCGGCAGCCGACCACCACCAGGGGAGGGAGAGCTGGCCCTGAAGCTCGCGGCTCCAGTCTACCGTTCTGGCGTGCGCGACGAGAGGCTGGTGGACTTAGCGTTCTCGGTCGCGGCGACCAAGGGCGTCGTCGAGTCCGGCCAGAGCGTGTGCCTGGGAGCTCGGCCTGCCAAGTGGTGCCTGGCTGTCAAACAGCAGGGCCTACTCAACACTTCCATTCGTTGATCTTAGGCTGGAGACATGATGGTCTGTGAGCACCTTTTTCTCCAACCCGCCCCACCTGGGAAGTCGTATTCCGCGGTCGTGTCGTGCGCGACGTGCGTGCGAAGCTGTGCGCGATTTCCCCAGGGTATTGGGACGGACCGCGGGCAAAGGCAAAGTCTGGCCAAGCTGTTGGACTATCACGTGCTCCCCCAGGCGCTGTGGAGACATGTCGGAAATACTTGCGGGACCAGGAGGAGGAGGAGGAGGAGGAGGAGGAGGAGGAGGAGGAGGAGGAGGAGGAGGAGGAGGAGGAGGAGGAGGAGACAAGGAGACAATGCAGAGAGCGTGCAAGTGAATCACGAACACGCCTCGGGACAGAAAGGGAGAACCAAGGGAGCAAACCTCATCCTTGTGCCTCGGGCTCGGGCTCCTGCGGCGGCATCGCAGGCTCCTCGAGCTCCGAGAAGACAAGCGGCTCGAGGGGCACGCCCGTCTTGGGATGCAGGCCCCTGCGAGCCTGCTCGAGCATCCATGCGATGGCTCCGTCCCCCCCACTCCCAGCTCCAGCCGACCCCGTCCCAGCCCTCTTACACGCTCGAGACAGGCCGAACGACAGCCGGTTGGGGCGCACAGCGTGCGCCCCACACTTCACACAGATCAGGACACGATCTAAGGCCTGGACCTGGTGTCCTGGCCCGACCTCCTGGGGGTCACACGCTCGGGAGGCCAGAGACTTCAACGACGAAGCCGTCGAGGCTTGCCTCCAGCAGGCACGACAGCGAATCGCTCCCCCAGCGAAGGCCACGAAATCGTGATCGGTCGGTCGCCGCGGACGACGGGGCCGAGTCGCGGCCTTCGGAGGCGCACGGAGGATCGGGGTGGAGAGGCGGGCCACACGCTCGGCCGCCCAGGCCAGACATCGCATCGTGTCCTGGGCCCGAAGCAGAGAAAATTTGTGAGCCTTGACCACGGAGGTGGATCCAAGGAAGTCGGCCGCGGCCACTCTGGCGAAAACATCCGCCCACATGTTGCCGAACAAATGCTCCAGGGGCTCCTGGGATGCCAGGCACGCATCGAACCCCTCGATAACAGTGCGATGGGCCTTCGTCCAAACAAAAACGGGCCTGACAGGGTCGCCCCTGTACAATTCGTGGATGCTCCGCCAGATTGACGCGTGAGGCGCTCTGGCAGAAGCATGACGACCCTCCCAAGCCGTTCCCTCGACCTGCAGCTGCAAATGATCGGTCACGTACGTGGCTGGCCTCTGGGCCCTTTGCAGGGCCTTGAGACCAGCCACCCGCTCGGCCCTCGGCACCGACTGGATGGGGCCCCCCAGGCTCCCGAACAGAGCTTTGTACGGCCACAGGTCTCGGGTCAAGGCCACAACGGCCCATCCGCAGCGCCGCTCCTCAGGGAAGTCACTTTCCAGACACGAACCGTCCCCGTACAGCTTCGACGGCCACGGCAGGCCGATCGCCCCCCACTCACGCTCAGCCTGAGCGCGTGCAGGCAGCGGCCTGAAGGCAGGCCTCATGGGCAGCGCGTAGAGCACGTCCAGGGCCGAGAAGTCCTGCACCTGGCCCCCGTCCTGCCACGGGGCTGCCTCCAGGATGTCCTTCCTCCTCCTGGCGACGTCCTCAGGGTACGGCTCCGTCTCCTCGTCCTCTTGCTGCTGATGCAAGACCTTGCAGCCAAAGATCTCGTGCTCGAGGTCGCAGTAGGCCTCCCCGCAGAACTCGCACGAGCCATCGTCGCTGTAGCCAGCCTGCTTGCGGCGCTGCGGCGACCAGAAGCCGTTGGACTGCAGCTTGGCCAGCGCCCCTCTGTGCCCAGGCGCCAAAGAGGCGTGGCCCAGCCGAAGCGCACGAAGCCACACGTGCTGCCGCCTGCCTGCACCATCGGCTGGGGGCGCCTCAGGAAGCTGGTCGAGGATGCGGTGGCTCTGCCAACGGTCCAGGCTGCGATGCTGGAAGAACAGCACCTCACTGGGACAATACTGCAACAGACTGATGTGCAGGCCCTCATCATCAACCAAGATAGTGGAGCTGGCCATGTTCCAGTTGACTCTCCTGAGCGACAACCACATCGCCGACAGCGGGCCCTGTGCACTGGCCCAAGTGACGTGAGTGTCGCGTACATCCCAGGAGTCGCGCAAGCACATCCAGGCACGCTGCAGGCGGGAGAGCGTCACACGCCCATCCCACACCCACGCCGCGTACTGCCCCACGATGCTGCAGGTAGCGTGGAAAATGGGGTCGAAGTTCCACTTCTGCGCGGCCAGGTACAGCGTCAGGGAGCCCGACCCCCTGTAGCCGCAGAAGACGCCGGCCATGCTCCTCATCTGCTGCAGCTCCCTGTCGCTGATGCCGCTGACCGTGGCTCCGTGCCCCACGGATGGCAACGCACCCGTGGCCCAAAGCCGAGCCGCTCGCTGTCGCCCTGCTCCCTTCTGCAAGGCACGGACGCTGGCCTTCTTGCCGTGCATGGACTTCAGGCGATCCTTCTGCACGGCTCTGGTGGCAGATGACCCAGCTAAATCGTGCCCAAGGTACCGCATGTGCCTCTTGCCAGAGATCTTCAGCAGCCTGGCGTACTTCTGGAAGTGGTAGCTGGTACGCCTGGACGTCGTGAGGTGACCAGACTTATCCATTTGCAGCACCAGTCCGAGGGGCCTAACAGCCCTGCAGAACGCACGAGTAGCAGTGGCCATCTCCCGCACTCCACGCGGGTCGTTGCCAACCCAACACAGCGCGACAACATCCACCAAGTCCTTGGGCTGGACCTGAGGAGCGACTGTCATCGTCTGGCGAATACTGCGAGTCAGCAACACCATCAGTAGCGTCGTGGCGTGGGTGCAGCCTGCCAGGATGCCCTGACATGCCCTGCGCGCCACCGAGTAAGACGAGTACGAGTACACAGAACGCAATTGTTGGTACATCTGCACAAGCATAAACGCCATTCTCATGGGATATCCATTGGCCCTGCACTCCAACAATATGGCATCATGCCTGACCAATTCGTAGCATTTGAGCATGTCCAGCAACACAATGATGGCGTCATCATCGCACAGGGTCGCCATCTCCTTGGTAAGAGCCAAATCAAAGGCGGCATCACTCGACGACTTGCCTCCAGTGTGGCCCCAAACCTCTGGGAGCGCATGGGCCTTCTCCCACGCTGCCGAGACAGGCCGCCTCGCCCGTCCCCAGATCCTGACCAGCGTGTTCATCAGCACAATCAGACGCTCCCCACCCCCTGGCTTGGGGAGCCGCACAAGTTTCGAAATGAATCTGCCGTCTGGCCACAATAGCAGGTACTCACACTGCTCGAAGAGGCGCGCCATGGCCGTCAGCGCCCCGCGGGAGAGGTGCTCCATGGCCCTGGGCGCGATGTTGACCTGCCCGACACCTGTCTGCCAAGAAAAACAACGTATGGCCTTGAGCACGTCAGCCGCCTCAAGCCTTGGTAGCTGCTCCCAAGCGTCAGCATCAGCAGGTCGGCGAACCGCCTCACCACCATGCCGCGCCCAGAAGCTTTCCCAAAATTCCAGCTTACGGTCGGCCAGTTCGTACCCATGCTGCAGCCCATTGCCTCCGTCCACGATCTCCTGGAGGGCCTTGGGCTTCAGGAAGCGGTGAGCTCCCCTAGCGCCAGCCACAAAAGCCGCCTGCGCCCACTGTCTCCAGCTCTGCGACGCGGCCTTCTCATGCTTGGCCTCTGCATCAGAGGAGATATTCAGGATGCGGTCGACCTGCTGCTCGAAGTCTGCTTGCGCTAAGACCAGCATGCCACGCGAGAAGAAACCGACGGCCTCGGCGTCCAGGTGCGGCCAGACTCCCTTCCTCCGCCAAATTCTCTGGAAGAAATTCTCGCACTCCAGCAGGTGGCGCGCCGCCTTGGAGTGTACGGCGTCCCACGATGGGTCCTCGCCTGCACGACGCAGGGGCTGGTGTCGCTGCGCTCTCGACCGAGGCCAACCACCATCGGAGGAGAGACCAGCCACTCCGACGACCTCCGCGGCAGGGGGTGCACCATCGACCAGGCCAGGCACTCCATCGTCATGCACCACGCCGACGCTGCCGAGCTCGAAGTCATGCTGCGGACCAAGCTGGAGCACGAAACTCTGCAATGCCACTCGAACTCGCCTGAGGTGACGAGCCCAGCGCGCAGCCTGCGCCCAGGCCTGGGTGGCAGCCGACCTCCTGCTCCAGGCTCCTTTCACCACAGGGTGAAAGCTCACCAGCTCGAAGGTCGGGGGGCCTGGCACCGTGGAGTACTCCGCCGCCTCATTCACAAGGTCGTAGCGGCCCTGCAGCTCAAACTCGATGCCGCTGAGCACGACGTCCCAGGCCCTGGTGATGCCCTCGCTGTCGGTCGCGCTCTGGATGACCACCATGATCGGGTCCCAGTCGGGGGGAAACCTCGCACACCCCGACGCAGGCGGGCTACGAATGCCGCGAGGCTCGACTAGCCTCCTGACCTTCGCGTCGAAGGCCGTGGCGGAGAGCTCCATGGTCACGGGCAGATGCGGCCACGTCTCCGCGTCAACCACCACCGGTTGCCGAACGCGAGGTAGCAAACGGCAGGAGACCATGAACATGTCAATGGTGCGGCCAGGAAGGCTCTGAAGACACGTTGGCTCCCTCGGCGCCATCACCACCCCATTGGCCGACTGGAGCCAGGACAACGGGCCTAGCTCGCCCACCTCCATGTTGAAATCACCTCCGACAATCCACGGGACGCCCATCGCCTCCAGCGACCTGACGTACTGGTACAGCTTGTACAGCATGGCTAGATTCTCAGGCGACAGCTTCACGTCGACGACGAAGTAGCACGACAACATGACAAAGCCGCCCTTCACCCCGGCGTGAACGTGGGCCGCCATCATCCTGCCATCATGAAGCACGTGACTGTCAAGGCCTGGGGGTTTGGTGATGACCACCCGCAACGGGGCCAACACCGCGACCCCGCCTCTGCTGCCAGCTCCCTGCCCTGGTAAGGCAGGCTCCCATATTCCATGGTACCCAGCAGCTCGTACCTTATTCTGTAACTTCGCCAAGGCCTCGCCCTCAGCCTTAGCATGATGTTCCTGCACAGCGATGCACAAACTTGAGCACGTGGGCAGGAAGTCGACGAGCGGGCCGCCCGAGGACACGTTCACGGTAGTAATACTTGATAGCGACGCCATGGTGCAACAAAAAGGAACCAACCACACAAGACAGCACCGTGGAACCAGGCTAGACAGGGGTGAGCCTGGGCTTCTTGACCTTGGCGCCCCATCGCATGAAGATCTCCTCCAGCCTGTGCTTTTCGCCACCAGCAGCGACGACCTCCTCCATGAACTCGGGGTCATCAGAGAAGACTGCTGGCTGTGGTGTGCGAGGGGCTGCTGCAGTGTCCTGCTGCTCGGCCTGCTCAACATTGGCACTAGCCTCGGCCTCAGCAGCGGCCTGCGCCTTCTGGGCTGCCAGCTTCGCAGCCTCCTCCACCTGCAACCTCTGCAACTCCTGAAAACTCGCCGTGAGGCTGCCCGACAGCTGGTGATCGGCGCCCAGGCTCTGGAGCAAGATACCAAGGCCTTCGATCGTGGCGCCGACCCCCTTGATCGGCTCGTCAAGCGATGCCTTGTCACCTGGCGTAGGAACCTGCCCTTGAAGCTTCTTGCGCTCCTGGTCCAGCTCCTCCATGCTAGCGTCGATGGCCGCCAGCTTGTCACGAGTGATCCGCTCCTTCTCCTGCAAGTCACGTATCTGCGCCTGCAGTCCTTCCAGCTTAGTCTGCTGGTCGTCCCGCAGCTTCTGCTGCCTGGTGAACTGAGCCCCCATCTCGCGCAAGCGCTGCCCGAGCGGTCGAGACTCCGCCACCTTGGCCCGCAGCTCGGCCTGCTCCGCCAGCAGCTTGTCGCGCGTGGCAACGACCGACGGCTCCGCGATGCCCTTGAGCTTGCCGATGAGGTCGCCGACCTCGCGCAGCCTGTCCTTGGCAACGGACTCGGGGGCGTCCCCGTCCGCAGCGGGCTCCATCTGCACGTCCTCCCCGCCAGGCGGCGGCCTCTGCACAGCTGCCAGCCGCTTGCGAGCCGCCGCGAGCTCGGACTTGAGCTGGGCCACCCTGACGGAGTCATCCCAGTAGCCGTTGCCACCGCCGCCCAGGTAACCCTTCCTCCGCTGGGAGGGGGCGGACGGCTTGCGTACTCCGTGGAAGACCAGTCCCTTGCCGAGCTTGCACTTCGCACACTGCCGAGCCTCTGCATGATTCCACCACGATCTCCCCGAGGGCCCGCAGCAGCTCTTGCAGTACCAGGGAAGCGCCTGCTCCGAGCGGTAGTGCGGCGGAGGCATCCCCACGACGCCAGGCTGCAGCACGCGCGGCGAGAGCAACCACGCTCCGTGGCTATTGTGTGTCGCAGATGAGGGATGAAACCTCAGTACAAGCTGTAAGAAGTGTGAAAACGGTTGGGGCCGTCGCTCCCCAGTGCCAAAGAAACTCTAGGTCCTTGAGCCTCCTGCTACGGACCTTGAGCCAAAATGGCTACGGAGGAGGAGGAGGAGGAGGAGGAGGAGGAGGAGGAGGAGGAGGAGGAGCGGGAGATGGCTTGGGGCCTCCTGGGGGCTTCCTTGGAGGCCTCTGCAGACCTCGCATGGGCTCAAAGGGGCCTGTTGGTCTTCGGAGGCCGTCTCAAGGGCCTCATTGGGCCGTCTTGGGCCCCTCTTGGGGCGCGTTCGGGCCATATTGACGGTCTCGGGGGCCGTCTTGGGGCCACCTCGTGGCTCTCTTGGTTTGGCGTAGGGCCCTCTTGGGGACTTCTGCGATCTCAGGACGGATCAATCCAGCAAACTCTGCAGGTGCGATGGAGGGAGGGAGGAGGAGGAATAGGAGGACAACGAGGAGGACGATCAGGGTTACGTAAGATGGATAGGTGGAGAGGGAGGAGGTGTTCGAGAAGAAGAGTAGGATGAGGAGGATGAGCAGAACTAGGAGGACTAGGACGAGGGACGCGATTCTCTTTCACTGTGCGTCTTTAGATCTGTAGATGGATCGCAACACATCAGAGGCGAGCACGATCCCAGCTGCTGATGTTGCCATCTAGGGTAGCAGCGTCCCCTTTAGGGGACCTGGCTGGCCAAGTTACTGCTCCTGCGCCAGGGTCCCTTGGGGATTTATTTTGGATGTTTGTAGTGCCCACTGCCCAAGGTTTCTTACTGATTCCGTTTCCCTGATACTGTTGAGGTCGGGGCCATTGTTTCTTTGGTTTTTGTTTGTCTTTTCTGCGTTGTGTTATGTTCCTGGACTTCGGGGCCCTGATTTTGTCTTTGTTTTGCATTGCTCTGAAAGTCTGCGCATGGTTTTGCACTGCTTTGTGTTGCGCTGCTTTGCTCTGCTTTTCTTGTGTTTTTTGTTTGTCCGTGCAGTGCATTCGTTTATCTGTAATGGCTTCGCCCCCTGCCGTCAGCCCTCTCTCTTTATCATAATGGGATCTATCAGAGTCGCGTCGGTGCGTCTCGGCGCTGTCTTGGCGGATCTGGGAACATCATGCAGGGGCGGATCGGAGCCATCAGCGCATATTGAGACGTTGGGCGTTATCGAGGACGCCTACGGCGAATCACCGCCGCCCCCTGCCTTTGTGGAAGCGCCTATGTGGCCGAACGTTGAGGCCAGACCTGCCAAGCTTTCGGACCATGTGTTCCCCGAATCGGTTTGGAAAGCCTTCGGGGACCAGGGCATCTTGAAGGTCATCTTGGCTGCCTGGAGGCCATTTGGACCCTTTCGGGCCTTCTTGGAGGACGTCTTGGAGGGCTCTTGGACCGTCTTGGAGGCCATCTTGAGCGTCTTGGAGACCTCTTGGGCCGTCTTGGGGGCCTCTTTGGGCCGTGTCTTGGGCCTCTTGGGCGATCTTTGGGGGCACTTGGGCCGTCTCGGGCCGTCGGAAGGCAGAAAAAAGCAAATGCCACGCTCCTTCAAACACCCATGGGAAATCAATGATTTTGGCATTTTCGGGCCTTCCTGGAGGCCCTCTTGGAGGCCTCTTGGGCCGTCTTGGGCCATCTTAGGGCCATGTTCGGCCGTCTTGGTGGGCTCCTGGTCTGTCTGACGCCGTCGGAAGCCGTTTGGGGGGCCTCTATGGGCCGACTTGGGGTCCTCTTGGAATGCTCCAGGGCCGTCTTGGAGGCCATCTTGGGTGTCTTAAAGGCCTCCTGGGCCGTCTTGGGGGCCTCTTGGGGCCGGCTTGGGGCCCTCTTGGGCCGTTCTGGGGCCATCTTGGAGGCCTCGTGGGCGATCTTTCGGCGATTTTGGGGGCTCTGGGGGCCGTCTCGGGCCGTCGGAAGGCCGAAAAGAAGCAAATGTCGAAATCTGTCAAAAATCTTAGGAACATCAAGGTTTTGGCCTTCTGGCTTTCCTGGAGGCCCTCTTGGGGGCCTCGTGGGCTGGAGGCCATCATGGGCGTCTTGGAGGCCATCTTGGGCGTGTTGGAGGCCTCTTGGGCCGTCTTGGAGGCCTCTTGGGCCGTCTTGGGGCCCTCTTGGGGGCCTCTTGGGCGATCTTGGGGGCCTCTTGGGCCGTCTTGAGCCGTCGGAATGCAGCGAAGAGGCAAATTCCCAAATCCGTGAAACAACCTAACGCAATCAATGATTTTAGCATCTTCGGTCCCTCTTGGAGGATCTCTTGGAGGCCTCTTGGGCCCCTTGGGCCGTCTTGGGCCGTCTTGGACTCTCTTGGGCCGTCTTGGAGGCCGTCTTGGACCATCTTGGGCGGACTTTAAGGCCATCTTGGGCCATCTTCGCGATTTGTTGAGGACGTCCCGAGCGAAACGGCCGTTTTTGGTGACGACGGGGGCAATACAGATGCGTTTTGAGATCCTTCCCGGGACCCCGGCGGGACGGGCCGAAACCCCATGGGGAGTTCTTTTGGAAAAAGAACAAGAACCAAAACCGAGAGGGTCTAACACGCCAGGCACCCCTTTGATGAATCAACAAGGGGCGGCGGACCGAAGACGCCTACGGCGAATCACCGCCGCCCCCTGCCTTTGTGGAAGAGCCTATGTGGCCGAACGTTGAGGCCAGACCTGCCAAGCTATCGGACCATGTGTTCCCCGAACCGGTTTGGAAAGCCTTCGGGGAACACGTGGGCATCTTGTTGAAGGCCATCTTGGCCGCTTAGAGGCCATTTGGACCCTTTCGGGCCTTCTTAAAGGACGTCTTGGAGGACTCGTGGGCCGAGGCCATCTTGAGCGTCTTGGAGGCCTCTTGGGCCGTCTTGGGGGCCTCTTGGGGCCGTCTTGGGGGCCTCTGGGGCCGTTCTGGGGCCATCTTGGACGCCTCTTGGTCGATCCTTGGGCGATCTTTGGGAGCTCTTGGGCCGTATCGGGCCGTCGGAAGGCCGAAACGAAGCAAATGTCAAAGTCTTTCAAACACCTTCGGAAAATCTTTCTTTTTGGCATTTTCTGGCCTTCCTGGAGGCCCTCTTGGAGGCCTCTTGGGCCGTCTTGGGCCAGCTGCGAGCCACCTTCGGCCATCTTGGTGGGCTCCTGGTCCGTCTGACGCAGTCGGAAGCACTTTCGGGGGCCTTTCTGGGCCGACTTGGGGCCCTCTTGGGGTGCTCCAGGGCCGTCTTAGAGGCCATCTTGGGCGTCTTCGAGGCCTCTTGGGCCGTCTTGGCGCCCTCTTGGGGCTGTCTTGGGAGCCTCTTGGTCCGTCATGGGGCCATCTTGGAGGCCTCTTGGGCGATCTTGGGGCGACCTTGGGGACCTCTGGGGCCGTCACGGGCCGTCGGAAAGCCGAAACGGCGCAAATGCCACAATCCTTCAACAACCTCAGGACAGCCACGGATTTTGGCCTCGTCGGGCCTTTCTGGAAGAACTCTTGGAGGCCTCTTGGGCCGTCTTGGAGGCCTCTTGCGGGCCTTTTGGGCCGTCTTAGACCATATTGAGGCCATCTTGGGCCGTCTTGGTTGCATCTTGGGGCCATCTTAGCCATCTTGGAGGCCATCTTGGCTGTCTTGGAGGCATCTTGCAGGCCATCTTGGGCCATCTTCGCTATTTTTTGAGGACGTCCCGAGCGAAACGGCCGTTTTTGGCGACGACGGAGCGATTTTCCGGGTGGCCGGCGGGACGGGCCGAAGCCCCAGGGGGAGTTCTTTTGGAAAGAGAACCCAAACCAAAACCAAGAGGGTCCAACACGCCAGGCACCTCTGTGATGAATCGACAGGGGGCGGCGCATCCTAGTGGCTTTCGGCCCATCCTGCCACCGTGCCTGGGTTGTGGTTCTGAGGCCTCTTGTATATGTGTTAGGATGTCGTGCCTATCCTCTTGGGGGCCTCTTGGAGGCGGTTTGGGCGCCTCTTGGGGCCTCGTGGGGTATCTTTTTGGCCTCTTGGAGGCCTCTTGGGCGCGTCTTGGGCGCCTCTTGGGGCCTCTTGGGGCCTCTTGGCGGCCTCTTGGGGTCTCCTGGGGGCTTTCGGGGGGACAAATATTGAATGTTTGGTTCGTGGTTCCCTGCTTGGGCCTCTCTTGTTGCCGTCTTGGGGCCCTCTTGGGCCGTCTTGAGCGCTTATTGGGCCATCTCGGAGCCCTCTTGGGCCTTCTTGGGGCCCTCTTGGAGGCGTCTTGAGCTGTCTTGGGGCGGTCTTGGGAGCTTCTTGAGCCGTCTTGGAGCGTCGGAAAGCCGAAAATGCGAGAAGGCCAAACATGCTCCAAAAACCTTCGTATCATCTGCGATTTTGACCTCTTGGGACTCTCTCCGGAGGCTTCTTGGAGCTCTCTTGGGGCCTCTTTGGGCCCTCTTGGGCCGTCTTGGAGCCATCTTTGGGCGCCTTGGAGCACTCTTGGCCGCGGCACTGCGAATATGGCCTAGGTTCCGAAGGTTTATGGCTTCGGGGACGCGCGAACATTTGGTAATTTACTAGGGTTTGTTGCCTCGGGGACGCGAATCTTGCGTAATTTACAAAGCTTTGTTGCCTCGGGGACGCAATCATTGTGTCATTTAACATGGTTTGTGGCCTCGGGGACGCGAACATGGTGTAACTTACAAGGGATTATGGCCTCGGGGACGCGAATTTCATGTATGGTCACGTGTCCCACGCCCCTCCATGAATTCAGAGAGTGCGATCCGGGCGTGGTAAATTGGATCCTTTTGGGCTCCTCTCGCGCGGACTTCAACAATTTACAGTAAGAAGCAGAAATCAGGACTGTAAGATTGGACACTTGAAACTGCTACTGGGGCAGGGAGCAGCACACTTCGGCCTACAGCCTGGTGGCCCCACAGGGGGGCCAGCGGATTTGCTTTGATGTGTACTGCTTTGCGCTGCTTTGGATTACTCTGTACTGTAGCGCCATGCTTTGCATAGCACTGCGCCAAATTTAAATGCATGGTGTTGCATCGCATTGCGTTGCCTTGTGTTGCGTATACTTGCTTTGCTTTGATTGCTTTGCTGTCTTCTCCTCTTACTGTTTTTGTTTGAATTGCATTGTGCTTGCGTTGTGTGTTGCGTTGCATGTGTTGCATGGTATTTTCGTTGGACTGTTAGATGCCACTTTGCACCTCAATCTATAGTAAAGCCATCCTAAGCAACATCGTAACGCGTGGCAGCCTTTTTATTCTCTGCTTAGCTAGGTTGCAGCTTGTTCTGAGCTTTCAACGCTTGCTTAGTCTTACGTTCGCCTCGGGTATTTCTTCAGCTTGTCCTCGCTGAGGACATCCTTTTGGGTGCCGCGCCAGGTTCACCTCTCCGGGGCCAGGGCTGGATGTCATACTACGCACCCTGCCAGGTGCGATGGGGACGCCAGGGGCTTCTGCGGCGACGTGCTCTACGACCCGTCGAACGAGCACGGCGCCAGGGAGCTCCCGCCGGAGAGCGCCCAGGGCAGGGTGGTCCTCTTCTGGCGCGGGGGCGGCTGCACCTTCGCCGAGAAGGATCGGGACGATTGAAGTGTGTACGGGAAGAAGGGATGCAAAGACCGACAGCAATTCCTGCTCATTTTGAAAAGGACTCGCTGTCCGCGCCGCCGCGGACGTTGTCCCTGGGAGACGCAAAGTCACCCGCCCAACAGCGGCCGCTGTCGGTTTTGGATCGCACTTGTTGTTGAGCTTTGTACCCATTTTCTGTGTACCCATTTCGGGCGTCCAGAAGGAGGCGCGGGCGCGCGCGGGGGGCGCCGCGGCGATGCTGGTGGTCCAGTGCGAGGGCGAGGCCATCTGCATGACCGCCACCCGCGCCGCGCCGGGCTCCGAGCCGAGCCTGCCCGCGGCCATGCTGTCGCGGCAGGACGGCGAGAGGCTCGTCGGGTTGGTGGGCCTCGCCAGGCTGAGCCTGACGGCAGCCCGCCCGCGCGGGCAAAGGGACGTGCCGCCGAACCGCCCGTGCGCCATGACGGCGGGCGCCACGGACGCACTCTGGATCGGCTACCTGCACGCGCACCTCTCCGACGAGCGCCTCGCGGCCGACGTCCGGAGCTTCCTCGACCAGCACCTGCTCCCGCGGGCGCGCGCAGGCGCCTGCCGCCCGGAGGGTGCAGTGCAGGAGGTGCGGATCGTGCGGGGCAAGTTCACCCAGGCCAAGGTCGCCCTTCTGGAGCCTGTCTCTCAGGAGGAGGTGCGGACTCTGAACTCCAAGGCGTTCGTGGAGGGCGGCGTGGAGAGGACAGTGACCGTGGACGATGCCCACGGGTCGCCAGGCCAGAACTGCCCGCGGAGCATCGCGAGGTATTGCCGTGGTGGCAACCTTCGTTTTGTCGATCCGTGCTGGTGCAAGCACCAGGAACTCTCCACAGCCCGTGCGTCTTTCACCATGGATGACGTCCCCTTGGAGAGCGCGAAGGGCAACGACATCTTGAGCGCCTTCATGGGCAGCGCACCGTTCCACGACGGCCAGCCGACCGTAATCTGCATCCGAGCTATTCACAACCTAGTGCTCGAGCGGCAGCACGAGTTCTACCGGCGCTACCTCACGGAGAAGAACGGCGAGGCACCCCGCCAGGTGGAGCTCTACCATGGAACAAACATGAACATCTTGGACACGGTATACACCCATGGCCTGCGCCCGCCGTCAGACACCGCGCCTTCTGATCGCTGCCCAGTGTCTGGGGGCAAGGGACTGCGGACGACTCTGTGCAACAACGACTGCAAGTTCTGCACGGTTCAGCACAAGTGGGACCGCTGCCACATGTATGGCCTCGGCGTCTATTTGGGCGACCTCGCGCAGAAGTCGCACCGCTACGTCTCGGCGGCGGCAGATGCTTGTGCGGGGCGGCGCGAGTGCAAGATGGTGGTCTGCTCCGTGCTACTGGGTGACGCGCTGCAGCTCGAGGGGCACCTGCGGTGCTGTGATGCCCTGCACGACATGCAGTCCCTCCGCCAGCTCGGGGCTGGTGCCCTGCAGGGAAAGGTCGACCTGGTGTCTGCCTTCAGCGGGAGGAAGCCGGTGGACCAGCGCGACATACTCTTCGTGAAGGGTCTCGGTGCTGCCTCGCGCCCAGGCTCCTCGGTGTTCAACTCGGAGTACATTTCATTCCACCCTTACCAGTGTCTCCCAAGGTACGAGATCACTTACACA